ATATATATATATATATATATATATATATATATATACGGGCAAAGAAGTAACAGGTATTATGTTTAAAAAAAGGACTAAAAACAAATGGATATGCATTAGCATCACAAGAGAAAGAGTCGAATTCAAATATTGCTCAGCAAAAATGTTGAAGAAAAAATTTATTACTAATGTCAAGACAGGGAATTAATTAAAAGCTTTTTCACTCTTTTTCACCAGTATTAAACTTCTCATGAAAATCTGTCTATAAATGCTTATGTTTGTTAGCGAAGAGTTTTGCAACAGAATGATGGCTGAACGTCAACCGACCAGTTAACTAATACCAACTACTTGCCTTTCTCATAATTGATCTTTCTCAACTGTGACACTTTTCTCGAACAAATTATGGGCAGTTGAAATTCAAGTATTTCTCATTATTCTTCATTTTTTTTTTTTTGTTGAGAAACGGTAAAGTGTGTAAAAAGTAAAATGACTATTTTACTTTTTCCATTTTATTAAATTGTTTAGAAACGCTTTTTCCATAAATGCTTCTGACGCTTGTTAATGACTCCACTGAAAAAGAAAGCGCAGCACGGTAGGCCTCGGAAAAACACTGGTGATCTGTAATGACGTCAAATATGCCTCGCCGCATATACATTCAAAAACTGCTAATCTACAGAAAAATAGCTATCATGCCAAAAACTTGTTTAAAAAAAGATTTTTTTTTCAGTTTTAATGCATCAGTGTGTTTTGCTTTGAAATCAAAGGCAATGCATTGAGAAAAGTGGGAATTATTTCAAACAAAAAGAATTTTGTTGCATTATAAATTTTAACTTTAAACTTTTTGCTAATGCCGATTATTGGCTTTCAAAAAATTACGCGAATTAAATCTTTGCTTCAAAATTTATTTACAGTCTTTTTTGGTACACATCAAAATTATGCATCTCAAAGAGATTACTTATCTGCTGAAAAAGCTCTTCAAAACCATCACCATCTAGAAGTGTATAAAAGAATTAGTGCCTAAGCTAGATCTGCAACATTTATTCTTTAATCAGTGTAAAAAAACATAAATATAGGAAATTCAGATGATTTTTCAGCAAAATTCACGTACATCAAAAGCTAAACAAAAAAAAAAAAAAATACATTTATATTCAAAACAATAGTCCATAAAAGTGCAACTGATTTCTAGAGGACCTGCGACTACACAATAGATGTCGTCATCTGGGGAACCAAAATTTCTATTTTTGTTGGTGCTGCTAGTGATAAATTCCATCCATGAATTTAGCCATTTTAAAATCTAATTCCGATAAACCATTAGCCGAATGAGTTGTAAGAGTCACATCAACCTAATCAGTTAAATAATCAAATTTTGGGTGCATGAGTCGGTCTTTTCAATTCTTAATGATTATAAAATTTGGAACAGGTTGAAAATCACCATAAGAGAAAAAAAAGAAATTGAGGAATAAATTACAACTTTACAACAAATTAATACTAACGCTAGCAAAAAATTATAAGTAAACACGACAGTCTGTAAGTAAATGATAAGGTAATACAGCGACATTAGCCAATACTGTCGTTAAAGTACGAAGAAAATAAAAAAATTGTAACACCACAAAAACTGGTAAGATTTCAAAAAAAAATTCTTTAAAAGTAATAACCGATACGACAAAACAACTATACCTTGTTGTAAACATTAAACCACTCCGGATGATGATTAATCTTGTCAGCGTAGATCGCAACTCTAGTCATAAACCCAAATGCCTGAAAGGCCACGTATTATTTGATAATTCTGAAAGTTGATGATAACTGATGAAGAAATCAGCATTCAAATACCAGCAGTTCCAAAAATCAAACCTTTGCTTTAAGAAACGATTTAGCTAAGGAACCGCTTCTGAAATTATTAAATTTAAGTTATGTGTAAGGAAAAAAGCACCTAAAGGCTCATTTGAAATCAAAAACCGTCAATGTTAAGCAACAGACGTTATCAGAGCAAAAGCCACGTGTTCATTTTCTTTTGAATACTCAAAAAATTCATGGCCATAGATAACTTAGCTAAAATAACAAAAAAAAAAACTATAAATTTATATCACTTCCATGTTAAGCAAAAATAACGAAAAGGCAAAGAAAAAAAAACAGTAATTTCTAACAGCAAAAGTACCATACCTCATTAAAATTTTTGAAATTAAAATTCTTCTGAATTGCACTGTTATCCTTAGTCATATTCCATCCTTTATTTATTAGCGCTTCCAAAGAATCCTTTTTTTTTGCTTCACTAAAACCCTACAATAAATCTGTAGCAAAGTGGAACGTTATGGAAATCTGCATCTCATAAATGGCTCAAATGAACAACTGCTGGCAAAAAATAACAAAAAATCAACTCAATTAAACAGCTACAGCCCTTAAATGAAACACGGATCTTTGGTTTTTATCGTTAATGTTCTAACCGATATGTAGCGACTGTTTAAGAAACAAGGGCAAAGAAGACTCCGTTTAATCGGTCCATTCATCGTTATATTCGTAAACTCTGCTAAAAAAAATCCACTATCTGACTTTTAATCAATAATCATTGGGGGTAATTTTGGCCTTATACCGCAAATTATCCTTGTGTCATTATTCAGAAGCAAAATAACAGTAACTAATAAATTTGGCTTTTAGAAGGTTTCCAATTATTTTAGCCTGATATAATTATATATTTATTATCGATACAACCGTCTGAATTACTTAGTCAGCGGCAAAACTGTTTGCTGATCCATTAATTTCCATGTTGATATTACAAGTCTTAAACTAAACAACTAAAAACAAAAAAAAAAAAGTATCCGAAAAAATCTCAAAATCACGTAAAAATCAGAATAATTAAACTAGCTTTCCCCAAACAAAGTTTTCTAAATCAGTAGTTTTTTTTTCTGTAGGTTATTTGACGTTTTTGTATTCCAGGTGCTAGATACGTACTCTTATTGCCAAAAATAACTACACTTTTCAACAGCTCCTTTTTGTTTTCGTTCTCCTTGCTTTTTACCCCCTGCTTTAATTTATTTTACGTTGGTTCTGCAGATCATTTCCTTTAGATTTACTGAAGGAATTTTAGTGCAGTCCTCCTATTTAAGCAGAAAATGATTTTAATGTTGTAAATTGGTTAAAAAAATTCACCGACTTTTTGCGTAATTTTTAGTAGACGAACAACCCATTAGGATACATTGTTTCGCATTCATAGCTAAAGAAGGAACTAGAAAATTAGGACCCTGAGAGCAGTCAGTAAGACTGCTTTAAAGATTGCAATTGCAGAAAGGTTAAAGTTCGATAAAATTGAATCTCGTTGAGCTTTAATTTTAAAAAAATCCAAAAAAAAACTAATTAAACAACCTAGCGACCTACTTTCAGACTTCAATAAGAATACTTTCCAGTAACCAGACCCGCACCAACAACTACATCAAAACGTTGAAGCTCCAAGACTATTTAGATGACGTTAATCTATATTATCGTTAATTTAATTTAATTTGCTTTTTTCTCGCTCTAAAACTACTCTAAGAACTTTTCTACTGGAATCCAGTGTTTAAAAAAATCAAGAGTAAATTAAACAGGTTTCTTCAAAACGTCCGCAGCATTTCGCAACGATTTAGCTTCAGGATTTCTGAAATAATTTTAAATAAAGAACTGTCTAATAAGACAGAAAGAAAGGACAACATAAGACAACATTTCAGAGTGCCTTCTCCAACAATGTTATTTCTGAATTACTTTTAGGAATTTAATAACCACTAGCAGTGGCTCAAACCTTTGGGAATATACAACAACACTAAATGGGTTTGCATGGATTTCCTTTACTGTTATACATTACACCTTAAAAAACATTTTCCTATTCCACTGAACAGTGGAAAAGAAGGATAGAATGACCGATGTGACCAATGCCAAAGAACAGTTTCTTTGACCTAGTAGCTTAGGTTTAATAAAAGCAAGTATTAGCTGCCTAAACCAATTGCTACTGACAGCAGAAAAAAATGCAGATGCATTCCATCCATTCCGCATCATTTTTCCCTTCCGAGCCTTTACAGGCTTTTAAGTCTTCAACTAGTGCTTAATAATTCAAAGGCCAAAGACGCCAAAGTAGCTGACAAGACGAAATTAACTGCTCCCTAAATAATGCCATAAAAATATGCGTTATCTTTTCCAAGCACAATTATGATAAAATGATTAATAAGCAGAAAACCGTTTCACTTCCATGATAAACGGATTTCTCCCATATAAACCATATCAGAAAATGAAAATCAAATAAGTAGCCTTATAACCGCTTACCATCTTCAAAACATTCTGGATACTTTTTTTTTTTATAATGGAGTAACAAAAGCACCGCAGAAGTAAACAGAAGAAGAAAGAAATGTAAATAACAAAGAAAAAAGTCAAATATCATTATTTTTCTCTCGAAAGCTGTTTCATGCTGACACTCAAATGAAACATAAGACGCAGGTGGATTTATTGAGAAATAAGACCTTCAACAACCAAAGACAAGAACTACTATGAACGATGTTAACGAAGCAGAACAAAAATTTTTTCATAAAGTCAATATCGCCAGCTTTTTGTCGACAGTTTGAAACCGT